TCACAATTAAATCAAAGGCCTTTTATTTATAAATTTTTGCGAGGGTATTTACACAAGTGTTTTAGTTTTTTTTTCAAGTTTATTATTAAACGTGTTCATGTATTGTTTACATATTCAAAGCTGGAAAAACAATAGCATAAAAATATTTAAAAAAAAGTCCCCAATAGCACAAACATATATTTCAAGGAAATTAACATCGCGTTTTCTGATTGCGTAAAGATACATAAGTAGTAAAAGTAAAATTAAATAATTTCACCTGGAAATAAGTAAAATGTAGTTATTTGTAATTCTGAATAAACTTAACAAAATAAAGTTAAAAATTTTATAAAAAATATTTATAAAAAATTTGGTTGCAATTAATTTCTAACATATAAGGAGCTGGACTAGAAACTTTAAATTTTTTCACTAAAAAAAAGTGTCCAAATTTAATTTAACGAAGAAGCTCAAAACAAAAAAACTAAACTTAATTAAAAAAAATAACTAAACTGCATTTTAAAAATTAAGCTAAATTTAATTTTAAAAAAATGTTACGTTTTTAAATACTTTTCATAAGAAAATATATAAATAAAATTAATAAGAACATTTAATTTTCTTTCCTTTTGAAAAAAATCAACAAAAAAAATATTTTTTAGAATAAATATTTTACAACCAAATTTTCATTTTTAAAAACACTTAGGGAAATTGTCAAACCTTGATTTAACAAAGCTTATCAACAAAATATAGTTAAAAATCAACTATATTTAAAAAAAGTGCTTAAAATTGCTTTCTAAAAATATACAACGGATTTATCCGGAGCTTTTATCTTTAAATTTTTTCTTTTTATAATAATTAAAATATGATTTATTGTAAACTCTCAAAAAAATTTATTTAAGAATAAATATGTTGAAATATTTTTTAAAGAAAATAATTGTAAAATAATAAATAAAAACATCAAAAAATAAATAAAAAATTGAAGATTTAAAAATTTTGTTAAACACATTTGTAAAGAAAATATTGTTAAAAAAATTACAAATTAAAAATTATATTGAGAAAAAAAATTTGGTTGGAACGCTTAAAATTTTCAAATACTATTAGAAAAATATTTTTGTTACTGAGTTACTACTGAAAAAAAAACATTTCGTTTTTTAAACCTTTTTAAAAAATTTTAAAAATATTTAGGGAATTCTTAAGGCGTGCAAAGCGTCGCGAATGCTTATGAAGTTTTCTTTTCTCGAAAAAACTGTCACCCTCTTATGTGGCGACATTATCAGAGTGCAACATTTTAAAGAAAGAGCATGCAATATGCATGTGAAGATGTTGAGAAAAGAACACGAGAACTTGACAGCCCGAGCGAAAAAGCTCTTGAGGCTTTATCAAAAACATTAGTTTGTAAGTGTCATGCAATATCTACAAGTAAAAAGTTTTAATCTAACTTAAAAAAAAATTTTATATTTGGAGAAGTAAAGTAAGAAAAAGAATCAAAAAATTTGTGAAAAACGCTAAGCAAAAAGACAACGGTCCATTTTAATTTTGCTAAAGTAATTAGAATTTGTCAAAGCTATTCAAAGAAAAACTATATAAATTTACAAAACATTTAGATAAAAACCAGCTTATTTATAATTAAGAATTTAAATTTTTAATCAAGAATCGAGGTTGTATCGAGCTTGATATCTATGTAAAAACAACAATAAAATGCCATGGTGGAAATTAAAGCTGCTCATTCGGAGTTTGGTTATTAATTTTTGAAACATTTTCAAATAAAAATGAAAATTAAAAAATGCATTAACAAATTTAAATGTAAGGTTAGGATAAGTTTGAAAGACTAGAGAGAGTGGTTCCCTTTACACTTATACCCAAGGGGCCTACCTTGTTATGTAATCTCCTTTCCCCTATTTTTTATGTTAAAAGCATAGAAATTTTATTTTTTTTAATAATCGAATTTTATTATTTATTTTTCGCATATTTCTCTACTACTTTCATCACTTCGGGCACCGCGACTGGGGAATGCAAACACCGTTAGCATTACGTGCATAGCCCGCATTACAATAACAACCATCGGGACAGCGGATATGTCTTATCAAACATGGCTGATTCAACGTAGCGCATTCGGTTTGACAAGATGGGCCACAGGAGGTGTAAGTCTCGTGGCGTGGACACAATCTTGGAGCTGGATAGAAAGAAGAAGAGCAAGAAATTTAATATTCTTACAAAATAAAAACACACATAGCAACGATTTCATAATTCTTATTAGTAAACTCACTTATGCCCCGTTGCCCGCTCACCAACGCTAAGCTGCAGCAGATAAACAAAATGAAACCGCACAGCAGAATGAAGCGCGTTTGGGACATGTTTGCTTGCTTTATGTTTAAGCTTTTGTTTTGATTAACAGAAATTTAAAATATTTGCTCAGCTTGGCCGCGCGCTAATTCTAAAAAAAAAGAACTGAACGTGTTTCGCTTCGGATATGCAGCTGCTAACTGAAGCTTTAACCAGCTAGCTGGCTGTGATTTTATATTGCGACGATGAGTTAAGATAACCTGCGGTAAAGCACCGCTAACTGTCAATGGTATGGCAAGGTGACCAGATGATAATACAAAGTTCAGATTCTAAAAGACTGCACGGCGTACTTAACTCAAAAGTAAAGGCCACTGACGTTCATCGTCAGCGTGGCGCGGTTCATAACTGGCAGAGCGCCGGGAGAAGTCTGATATCAGATGAGCAGCTATAACTTCTAAACCATCTAAAGAAGACTTTTAGGAAGTCTTCGTGTTTAATTTTTCGGGATTTTAAGGAATTTTTCTAGATTTTCGGATTTTTTGCCGTTTTTCGGTTTTTTTTTTCGAGATAAAGACTTGCAGGATTTTTCGGCTCCATTCAGAATTTGGGCGATTCTTCCTGTTTTATTTATTTAGAATGTTTTTGTGATTTAACGAAGGTTTTTGAGATATTTCGGAACTATTCCGAATTTTTAGGAAATTTTCGAGATTCTTTAAATTTGTTTTTTTTTCGGAATTTTTCCATGATTTCGCGAATCTCCTTTGGGGCTTTTCGGGATACTTCGTATTTTGTTTTACGTTTTTTTTTTGATTTTTCGTATTTTATAGATTAAATGTTTTTGAATTTTTGAAACTTTTCGGAATCCTTTGGGACTTTACAGAATATATCGAAATTTTTGTATTTTTTAATTTTTTTTTAGATTTTTTTAATGTTCTTTTTTTCGAGAGTTTTTTAATCATGTCGGAACTATTTGGGGAGCTTTTATGTGTTAAATGTGAACGTTGTTTTTTCTGAATATCCTCAAAAATAAAAAGAAAAAATTACGGTTCATACTCTGATCTATAGATCTCAGGCAGAATAAGTTCTTCAACTAGAATCTGCAACTAGTTAAAAAATGTATGGTGGGCTCAAAAGAGTATTTTTTTTTTAATTCTAAGCCAAAAAAAGCTTAGATTGACGGAAGAGTAGTTATTATAGGCGATACTATTCTATGGTTGGTATATATGAAATTTGTTCATTAGATAAATTAGAGCAAAATTTAAAAACAAAAAAATTTTAATATTTAATTAAAAATATCTGGCAAGGAGGTTTTCAGCCACCTCACTCGCGAAATATTTCCTAACATATTAAATTTCATACAAAGTAGAATTCATCCATTAAACAGATGGGTGAAGGTCGTTTCCATATTGGTTTCCGCACTATTTCGTATTTTGTGTGCTTTATACTAGTTTTTTGTACTTACTGATTGCAAGTCATTCACTTTCAATATACGTAAGTGAAAATCAGCAAAACTCACCTGTAAAGAGAAAAAAAATTTCTTGTTATAACAAAATCAAAGATGTGCATATTTCTACTTTGCCTAGACAGTTCCCTAAACCAAATACTTTAAAACCATTTTTCTCACTTTTGATTTTGAAATATGGTGTTCTTGTAGCTAATGAGCGATATATATATATATATATATATATATGTATATATACATATATTAAGGTGACAGTAAAATTTATAAAGATATCTGTAGAATTAATCTTATCACTTAAACCCAAAGCTAAGTAGTTAAACATATAAGCGTATGCTGAGAAAAACAACCACCCAAAAATATACTTTATTTTTGCGCTGTGACGCGAATGAAGATCGGTAATACGAGTGTGGTGAATAATATTTCGCACAACATCCCCGCAGCAAATTGAACTGGTGGAGACACCCGTCCAGCTAGCTTGGAAAAGACGTGGTACTGGCACTTCATCTATTCCAAATCAAAGTTATCAAATAACTTTTTTTAGCATAGACATTTCCGACGAAGCGGCGATATTCTCTTCAGAAGAAGGCGTTCTGAAATAGTCCCAATTGGTACACTTCTGTAACGATGACTTTTTTATAAAAAAAAATTGTCCTGTATTCGATTTTTGGATTTTTTATTTCCATTACACATTTTATTATGCAATAAAAATTCCAGAATTGTCACTCAACTACTGCAAAACTGATGCATAGCGAGACAGTTGAAGCTCGCGACTTGGCAGTTGCAGCTTCATCAAAGTATCTCATATTGAGAATTTGAAAGCTGAGAAGTAGAAGTCGTATTCTTGTTTTCGTACGAATTGAAAATTTAGAATTTTTTTATAGAAATGTAATAGAAAGCTCTCGGTACCCATGGGGCCATACCCGAGTATCTTTCAAGGGGAGGTCTATATCATTAGTCTGTGTGCAAAGATAAACCTACGTAGAAATTACTCAAGGCTCTCTCATCATTTGAGGTCAAGTCGGTCTTGGTTCTTGAGTGCATTGAGATTACATAGGAGTTGTTGGTAACGAGAAAGCGGACCGGCTAGCCAGAATGGCAGTCGCCTCATCGCCTATAGGGCCTGAGCCCTTCCTTGCGATCGGACCTAGCACAATCAATCAAGAAGGAGAGGAACAGGCTTAGAGATCAACACTGGCGTAGCACCGCAGGCCAGGCAAAATGCCTACTGCGAGGCTACAACCTTAAGAAAAGCTACAGGACAATCATAAACCTCCCCAAAGAGAGGTTAAGGATAATAACAGGTTCTCTGATGGGTCACTGCAGACTAAGAGATCACCTGCACAAGATAGGGATCTGGTCTAACGACCTATGCCGTTGTTGTCGAGTTGACTTTGCACCTGCTTCGCCTGTTCGAGACGGTTACGAGAAGATGGAAGAGGAACCTAGGCCAACTCTGGCTAAGGGTATAAGTTGATGTGCAGACCTACCGGCTCGACAATTTCTAACAACTATCGATTATATGATTAGCGACATCTGCCTATGAATTGTTAAAGCAAAAGCTAAAAGAAATTAATTGGTCTTGTCACAAATGTCGCCCGTGACTGATTCTGAAGTTGCAGGTGGCTTCTTTCCTAAAAAATTAGCGAGAAAGATACCACTAAAAGAGCACAATGCGGCGTTCGATTTGTATCCAAATCAATATTTTAAAAGTAATATGAAAATCCGTTCCAAAATAAACTCTCTTGGTGGAATCAACCAATGGCAAGAAATAAGCATTTTCTCTTTTGTTGTTTTGGAGTGAGCTTTAGAAAATAAATTAATTTTTTGTCAAGAAAACTCGTTTAGAATATTACTTTTTTTGGTTGCTAAAATCTCACTTGGGACGGTCTGAAAAATGTATATCATTTTATTTCACAAAAAAAAATCATGCTCAAATCAAAAAAATGCCAGCAATAAAAACTCAAATATTCTGAAATAAGGTGGTCTTGCATAAGATACTTTCAACCCTAAAAGATTTAAAATTTTTTTTTTTTAAGGAAAGTTGAAAATATAAGGAATCGTTACACGTGAATTGAAATAAATAATATAAAAAAAACTTTTTAATATACAACGCTTTTATAAATGGACTAAAAAGTTGAAAATACTTCTCAGTCCCATAGAATATGTTTTGATAACTTTTGATTTTGAAATTTTAGCAAAAGTCATTATAAACAATCTATGAAATTGAAAATGAAAAACGTGGAGCGCATGCAATACAAAGCATTCGATTTAATTGACAATAGTCAAACTACATAACGTAGACCTAAAATGTCTACAGCGAAAGTAGAACTTTGAAATCGATTTTAAGCGGTCGTTATTCATATACCCACATACATACATTCATATATGACTTTTCATATCAATTCAAGTGTATTACATGCGCCCCACGCTTTTCATTTTCAATTTCATAGATTGTTTATAATGACTTTTGCTAAAATTTCAAAATCAAAAGTTATCAAAACATATTCTATGGGACTGAGAAGTATTATTTTCAACTTTTTGGTCCATTTATAAAAGCGTTGTATATTAAAAAGTTTTTTTTATATTATTTATTTTCTATTTTTAGTCCTGTCTGAATAAAAGTTTGCAATAGATATTAAAATAATTCAACGATATTAATAGAAAGGTGCACACACATGCATTTACATATGTATGTACATACAAACGAGCACCAATTAGTTTTATTTAAAGAAATGGCGGGAATTCTATTTCCGGTGTAGCAAACGTAGTACATAGGGCGACCTCTAGATGTCATCTACCTCGCCCTATTCACTATGCTTTTTTATAGGAGCTTTTCAAAGCTTTGCTTTATGGTGTCGGACACACAACATTGAAAGTTTCTGGAACACAACATTGCAAGTTGATAAAAGCGTTGTAAAATAGTAAAAATTACTCAAATTAAACAAATATTAATTAAATTAAATTTTTTGTCAAAACTTAGTAAAGTTTTTAAATTTTTTATTGTAATGCAAGTTTAAGCTTTAATAAGTTGTAAATATCACTAAAACCTATGTAAATATTTTGTTAAACAAACCTTAATGTAAAAAAAAATTTGGGTCAATATTTTGAAAAGTTTTAAATTTTTTTATTGTTTTAAATTTCATTAAAATCAGTTTTAAACTATTAAGGAAAGTTGAACACGTGAATTAAAAAATGTTAAAAATTTCCCAAATTAAACAATTATTGATTAAAAAAAAAAAATCTATCAAATTTAGAAAAAAAAATCTTTTTTTTTGTGTAATGCAAGTTTTTAGTGTTATAAGTATCTTATGTAAGACCACGATTTTCATGGATTCCAAAAAATAAGAGAACACTTGTAGAACGCTTCATTTCAGATGGTAATCAAATGTATTTGTTGCATTAAATTCAGTTCAATGAAATTTTTAATTTTCAGTTTTTTAAATATTTTCCAATTTGTGCATCCAATATGGCAACATCACCCCTTCCACCATTCAGACACTATCTAATCCACCACACCTGTACCAATTGGCCAACTGACAGGTAAACTAAACACACACACACACACCTACAAAAATGCACACACGCATTTGGTATTTACCACCACATTAGCAACTGCATTAAAAAACACAACATTTCCAGAGTTGACCAGCACTCAGCGGCCACTTGCTGTGATCAGTTCTCTTCGACAGCGCGAGCGTGTTACAACTTTAAAATTCTTTAAGCGGCAAAACGCATGCGCAACGGCGCTATTTACCCACACAACCTTAACATAGCACACATACAGTGCCAGCCAGTGGTACACGAACGCGGTAAGCGAGTGAGGAGCGCATGTGCGCGTGTGCAAAAGTCAAAGAAGTAGAAAATCTATATGTAAAGTGTGAAAATATGCAGAAATATTTTCAATGCAAACGCGGAAAATCGGTGAAAAAATATGAAAATCCTATAGCAATGGGGCAAGAGCGTTTGCGGCGCAAAGATTTCGGTTTGTAAATAGTGAATGCGATCTTTGCAAAGAAAAATTCCACTTCTTCCGACTGCACAAAATTGCGCAAAGTGGTATTGGTGGCGATGTGAAGCAGAGAAACAAAAAGAGTAAAGAAGAGGGCCAATGGTAAAAACGTGTCGTCACAGCGCCCGAAGCGGTGGTAAAGAATTAAACATACAAAACGAATGCGAAAAAATGTAAACGAGTTGAGGGAAATGTGTAAGATTTTGAAGAAAATTGTTGAAATATTTGCGCAGATTTTGTGAGGAAGTTGATTTTTGGATAGAGATAGTGGAAAACCAGGCAATTTGGCCTTTCAGTAAATGTTTTTAAGCAACGCTCAACGCTTAGTGGCACACTTAACTATACCATAAAATTTACAAACACGAACAGCGACCATTGCTGTGGAAGAAGGCGTACTTGTGGCGAGCAATTCGAGTATTTGCTGCGTGAATAAAAAAAACATTGTAATGAAAAATGCCACACCACAATGGCTGAGGTAAGAAAATAGTGGATTTAAGTATATTAGATTTGTTCATATTTGGAAAAAAAATTCTTTGAGGAAATTACTTAGAAAAAAATCATAGAGAGTTTAATACAAGGACGCAAATTTCGAGGCAATATGCTAAGTGTGCAACCGAATCAGTCTCTCTCAAAAGGGGCGACACCCCACCCAGTACGAAGCTCACAGGTGATTAGGGGCGTTAAGTTAAAATTGGAATTGTAATTTCGAGTTTAATAATTTAGAGCGGCTGTAAATAATAATTTTTCGCACATTGGCTGTGAACGAAATAGGTTTGAGAATCTATGAACTTAACCATCCCACCAGCTTCAGGATACAAAAGACGCTATTTGCTTACCTATTATATTTTAAGAAAAGTTCTGAAAAATAACATGCAAACATACGTATGTATGGGCTTTTGTAACTCTCGCTGCCGTCGGAAAAATATCGGCCGGTACTGCCGAATATGCTCCAAGAGATTTTTAATTTATTTATACTTTTATAATTTTTTTTATTTTTTTTTTTTTTTTTTTTTTTGTTTGTGATATACTGTAACTATTTATATATGTAAGTCGATTTTTTCATTCAAATACATAAGTCATTACGACCAAAACAATTTAAATTCGAATTTCTACAGAGGTAAATTTCTAACAGAGGTAAATTTTGGATCCCTCTGGCAACCTGCAAATTAAGTATTAGAAACAACATTATTAAAGAGGCGAATAGATCATGGGCACTCGTATAACCACTGGGCTTCTTTGGCCGCGACTTCATAAGAAACAGAAAGAAGAATTGCTCAGCCTCGCCAAGAGAGAACATTTAGAAGGTCATGACTTGTGAAAACGGTCATTGGCTATTTGGCATGCACTCTTTGAGTTTAGGAACATTCTTCCATAAATATTACAGAAAATTGTAGAGATGAGGAGGAGGAAGAAACAGTCGCACACTTCTTTTGCAGTTGCTCCAAGTTGAAGTTAAGAGCACAACAATCTTAAGGAAATATCCCGTGTAGGAATAAAACCAATCCTACGCTTCATAAGAGCTTCGAAATGGTTCCGTGGAAAATAGTTACTGATGTTCCCTCGATTGATGCGATATCACAATGCACCTGCAAGGTTCAAGTGAGTTGGTCTTTCGAACTAACTGCTACATTAACATAACATTAACTAAATCAGAAACCAAAAAATAAAAAAAAAGTTTACGTAAAGTATTTTTTAAACATCGAATTTTTATAATTATCATTTTTGTATCATGATGCTTCAAACCAAGTGAAAAGTTACTTTTTATAATACTAGCGAATATTTAAAACTAATTTGCAATGCTTTTTTTATTTTGAAGCTTGAAATTTCAATTTTTAAATTTTTTTGTTTTTGAAGCAGTTATTCAATGATTTTGAAGAACCAAAAATAGTTGTTCTAAGTTGAAGCTTGAGGTCTCTTAAACAGGAATTTGAGACAGGTTTATTAAAAATTTAATTGACAAAATAAAACAAAAAATTTTCAAAAATTTATCAGCATTTCATTTTAAATTTAAAAATTATTAATTTCTTACTTATTTAACTAAAAATAAGAGTACATTTTGTTTTTAATTAGCAGCAAATAGTTTTTGGTATATTCAAAAAAAATGTCTAATAGTATTAAAAAACATCAAAACTTTCCAATAAATTAATTTAGAAAATTTTTCTAAAAACAGGACTAAAACTATTTAATACTAAAAATATTTAGTATTAAAAATATTTATCTAAAAATATAAAAAAAAAATCAAAATTTCCGATAAATTAATTTAGAAAATTTTCCTAAAAACACGACTTAAAAATGTAAATAATTTTTTACTCAAAACTTTTCTTACAAGATTTTAAAAATATTCTGCCTTATCCTGAGTTTCGCCTGAAAAAAGGATCACCCGAAAATTTGTCATCCGCTCATAGTAAAACCATGGAAAGCAAGAGTGAAAAGTGAACCAGTTCGGGGAAAATGAAACTTATGATAAGGCTGATTATTTTTACTCAAAACTTTTCTTGAAAGATTTAAAAAAAAAATATGTTTTTAGTAAAAAATTTTCAAAAAATATTAATCAATACTACGAGCTACGTTGTGAAAAATTAGGTTTGGTATATTAAGATGCATCACTCTCCATGCAAACTAACGATACTGTTTTTCCATCGGAACTAAAAAATGTATTATATTTTGACAATTTAAAATATTTTAGAAAAATATTAAAATTTCAGCTGGACCAATTTGAAAATACCTCCAAAACACGAGTTTGTTTATTAAATTAGTTTTAAAAAATATTTTTTTTCGCAAACAATCGTTTAAAATTATAGCTGAAGATAAAGCTTAGAAGGTCTGCATAAAAATGTTAAAGATATTTTATCAACCAAATCAAAATACATAATCTGCCTTATCCCGAGTTTCGCCTGAATAAAATTCACCCGAAAATTTGTCATCCGCCCATAGTAAAACCATGGAAACCAAAACTGAAAAGTGAACTGGTTCGGGGAAAATGAAAGTCATGATAAGGCTGAATGAGATTTTTGGAGGAATTTCCACATTGGTCCAGCGCACGCATGTAAATTTTAATATTTTTCCGGAATATTTTGGGTCTTAAAATATAAAAAAAAAAATTATAATTGGTGAGGCATCCTAATGAACATATGTATAATAATAATAATAGAATAGCGTTTCGCCGACTTCAAACGGCGGTTGTATTTTTAGGAGAAGCTTTTTCATGGTAAAAATACACTTGGATGTTTGTCATTGCCTGCCGAAGGGCGACCGCTATTACGAAAACCTTTTTTTTTTTATTTTTTTTATTTTTTTTTTTGACGGAAACGCCGGCGGAAGGCGTTGCGCACCTCTAACCATTACAACACAGCAGCCGCATATATCTAAATAAAAATTTAGTTCCCGAAAATACATTTTTTTTATAGTTTCAATAAAAAAAAAATAGGTTTTTAAAAATAATTTTTTTTTAACTTTTTGGAAAAATTGCGATTAACACGATTTAAAAACTATAAAAAAGGTTACTTAAAAAAAAAATATTTTTTCAACACTTACACCCTTCGAAAAAATCTCTAAATTTATCAGTGAGTAGGTTTTCTAGTAACACAAATTCTAGTAACACAAAAAAAGATTCTTGGGTTTTTTCGTTTTCCCTTGTATGTCTTCTGTTTCAGTTATTTCCAAGCCCAATGGTCAGTGGCCGCCAGTATATGACTACTTTGTGGGTATTAATTAGCATGATTATGTTCTTTTTTGTTATTACGCCTCTTGTATTCTTCTACCTTTGTCACTATTTTACCTTTGCCTGCCTTTCTGGCCACTTATAAGCTGCTAACTCACCTAAGTTGGCTTCTTTGCATTGCTTAGCAGCTACTTTGGCGGTCTTTTTTATGTGAACGCCATTAGCCATTTCGATAATTGTAATATTAAATAATAAATTCTTAACTAATTTATTGAAATTTTTGACTTCTCTATGACATTCTGCGCCAATTTGTGTGATTCGAAAATGAATGGAACTAGCTTTTTATAATTTTGTGTTTGTGGTTGCTTTGGTAATTAATTTGGTATTTTTGTTGTTGTTTAATTAGCTATGAGGAATTTTAAACTCTGCATTTGGTAATTATGCTAATTTCATTTCAAGAATTTGATTTAGTGCCTGAGGGGGTGTTGATGTTGGTGGCTAAAAAGATCGCTTACCATAGTGATTAGATTATTTTCAGAAGTCTTTTTGAGATTACATTACTAAATTTGAGTTTTGGTAACGGAATATTATACTGGAGGAGAGTAATATGAAGCTGTAGTATACAATTAAGAAAGCAATAAAGCAACGATCATCTTGTAAACACCCACTTGTGGTGTCCTTTCCCTTAAGATCTTTAGATTTCTCACATGAAACATAGAAAGTCTTTTAAAAAAAAATAGTACAAATTAAACGCAAATAAAAAAATGATTCATATTCGCCGCCAATTAGTCACATTTCGATTTTTTCCACATTTTATTTCACAATCTTTTTCCGCGTCGATATTCAAAATGCATAAATAAAAATTACAAAAAATAAATCCAGCAAACATGACAGCCCGGACAAGTGGTTAATTAGCTGCTGTTGCTGCTGCTGTTGCTGCTGCTGCCGCTGCGAAAGCTTGTTAATGGCGTACAAATACGAAGAATAACAGGCGAAGGCGAGAAAAAAGTTGCAACGCCTGCACAGTTTGCGATAAAAACAAAAGACTTAAGCGACGAACTTGCCTTAGAGGGAGAAACCAGCAGCAGCAGCAACCTTCACGACAGTCGACAGCTACGCGTTGTGTACGTGAACTTGTAAAACAACAACAAAAACAACAAATAAATGCTAGCAAAAACTACACAAATTGCAATACCAGCAACAGAAATAACAACAACAGCCACAAGAAAGCAAGCAATAAATTAGTGATTGACACCTTCGAAAGCAATCATTCCAATTCAGAATTCTGTGGCGCAGCAGACTGTTTGGCGGCAATTGGCTGGGCGATGGTGGCGTTGATTTGACTCACAGCAGCCGAATGCAAATCATTAAGAAAATATATAAATATTCATTCCATTGTATTTGCATACATTTGCATTGCATTCACTTAAATATTTGGTCATTCATTTATGTGCATAATAAAGTATTTTTTTTTTTTTATAAAGTTACAGCGAATGAGGGCAGCTGCTGCAGCTCGGCATTTGTCATGGAGGGCCACAGCACCAAATAATGCGCGGCGCGGAGGCGCGGTGAGGCGCGCGGAGAGCCACTAAAGTTTAAAGAAACAAGTTATGCAACTTTTTTCATGGTCTGCGCGGTGTGTCTTTTATTTTTATTCATTTTTTTTATACGTATGTATATACAACAGCGATGGCGCAAATCGTATTTTTTTATTGTTGTCATTGTTATTGTTGTCATTGTTTATTGTTGCGCTGAGCTGAGGAGATGGCATGCGAGTGTTACATATTTATTTTATTGTTTTGTGGCATCTTCTG